CTTAATAGTCGACTAATTTAACTTATAGTCGACTACATGCACAAGCATTGAATATAAGGTATTCTGTAAATTACAGAGTAGTCGACTAATTCATTTTGTAGTCGACTACTATGAGTTAAAATCTGAAAATAACGTTCTGTCAAATACAATGTAGTCGACTAATTTACAGAGTAGTCGACTAATCTGTGTTCAAACTAAAATTTAGAGTTCTGTCAGTTACAGTGTAGTCGACTAATTTGCTTAGTAGTCGACTACAATCTCAGAGTTTTCCAAACTTAGTTTTTCACCATATTGAATTTAAACCCATTATACCCTAAACCCAATACCCATTTCACTTAAATAAAATTCATCTCAACCATTGATTCTAATCCCATCAATCCTAGCCACATATCTAAGAGCAAATCTTCACCATTCATTTGTTCTTAATTTAATCCTAACCATACAAATTATAAATTTTATTCTAAAAGAAAAATCAAAACTCAAAACCCATCTTCTTCTTCTCATAACCGATCCCTCTTCTTCCCCTCTTCAGAACCCATTGAATCCAAGTTAGGGCATCATCAGATTTTCATTTTTCTTCTCAAAATCTTCATCAAATTCATTGGTTTCCACAGTCTGACATTTTCTGTAGTCGACTACACCCAGCAATAGTCGACTAATCCTAGGGTTTCATCTGTTTTGGTAATTTCTCAACTTAATCTTTCTTATTTTTGGGTATATTCCTGATTCATCATGTCTAGAGCTAAGAAAGCTAAGCAAGTTCATACTAATGTTAACGATGAAATCATTATATATTTAAAAAGTCCTGATTTACTTGAAGAATTTAACAAAATATCCACATTTGAAGTTCTTCCGGGACGATTTGTGAAATTTGATGATTTTATCCCATGAAATTTTGGATCATATTTTGAGAATGTGAGATTGCTTGAATTATTCTCTGCTGAAAATACAAAACCCACATATCCTTTTCTGGTTCAATTGTTCTATACTAATATAGAACGTATAAGAACTATTAGTGGAACTGAAAAACTTAGAACACTTGTCAAAGGAGTAGAAATTGACTTGACTTCTAAGTCAATTAGAAAAAATTTTAACATTCCTTTCCGAGGAGTCTCTCTTAGATCATTTAGAATGAATGATTCAGAATTACTATCTAATCATATTTTTCTTCCTGGTCATAGCAAACCTTTGAATAATTCCAATAAGCTTCGTCCAATTCCTCGTTTTATTGCTCGAATCTTAGCCTATAACTTGTTTCCAAAAACTAAAAGTTTTCATTTTATTTCCCTAGACTTAGCAAAAGCATTATATGCTATAATGGGGAATATTCAAGTTAATTGGGCTAAAGTTTATTTTGATAATCTTCTGACAATACCAAAAGGATTTCTCCTTACGGTGTCTTTTTAACGAAAGTCTTTAATAAATTTCATGTTGATATTGAGTCTGAAAATTCTGTAGTTCGTTCAATTGAATTCTTTGACTCCAATGCCCTAGCCAGGATGAAATTAACAAACTTTAAAATTCATCAAGATGAACCTCAACATCAACCTGAAACAGAACAACCATCCCAACCACAAAACACTGATGAAACTGGACCCTCCTCTCATATTCCACCACCAATACCACAAATGCATGAATCCTCTTGTTTCTCAGATACACAATACAACCTCCTCTCATATTCCACCACCAATACCACAAATGCATGAATCCTCTTGTTTCTCAGATACACAATACAATACAATGTCTGCTAGAATACTAGATACCACAAATGCATGAATCCTCTTGTTTCTCAGATACACAATACAATACAATGTCTGCTAGAATACTAGATTTGGAAGTGGATCAAAAAGCTTTGTTTGATCAAAATAAGCTCATGCTGAAAAATCAAGAGGCCTTAACCAACAAATTTGATATTCCGGAGATGAAGTTTGACACAATGAATATGAAGTTTGATACCTTGGATATGAAGCTCGGTGCTTTCTTTCAAGGACATCAACCACCTCCAGCACCTTAGAAGACCAAGCATACATCATTTTAGATTTGGATAATTTTTTATGTTTAGTGTTAAAACAATGGTAATATGTGTTATGTTGGTTGTTTAATTTTGAATGTCACAAACTATGTCATAGTTATTTGTTTTTAAGACATGTAATATGTGTTATGTTGCTACTATGTTGATTTAACTTTAGTATGTTTTATGGGATTGAATTTTAATGTTGCGTTTATGATGATTGAAAAGTTAATTCATGTGCTATATATATATATATTTTAAACAGATTATGGTGATGAATATTATGGAATTTTTGGTTTTTATGGGAAGTCTTTGCCTATCTATTTGGATGGGTGAAGTTATGGACTATGTTCATAATCTGGATGATCTGTTTGAAGTACTTGCTCATGAAGAAGAAATTATAATATGTTTAGGATAGTTATGTATTTCTTTTTGTTAATGACAAAGGGGGAGAATGTTTTCAGAATTTATGTTTTATAGACTCAACAATATGAATTGTAGACTCTAATGTGCTTTTATGCAGGGTGAGTAAGTATATTTGTTTATCAAAGATTTTATTTTTTTAAATATACTTATATATGCATAAATTATTTGTCATCATCAAAAAGGGGAAGAATATTGGATATCATGTCCCCATGATATAATTTTGATGATAACAATTTATTCATATTGAGAATCACTTTCCCCATGATATAATTTTGATGATAACAATTTATTCATATTGAGAATCACTATGTGTGTTATACATATGCACTAACTAACAATTTATTCATATTGAGAATCACTATGTGTGTTATACATATGCACTAACATTTAAATGCAGCTTTTAACATCAAATATGAACAAGTGCAATATGAGTTCAAGGCATTATGAACTATGAAGTAAAGAGGATGAAGGACAAGTACATCAATGTAATTTTTACATCTTTCTTTACTTAGAATTTTTGTACAAGCCTTGATCACTCACACACACACACACATAGAAATTAGAACACACTAACATAGGCTTAGTGTGTTAGTTAACAATAGAAATTTTCTATGTTAACCATTAGAGTATTTAGTTTATTATTAAGTCTAAAAATAGTTCATACATAACATTTTTACTCTTTAGTAGTCGACTAATAAGAATAATAGTCGACTACTGTAGTCTAAGTTCAAGATATAAAGTTTCTGTAAAACTACAGAGTAGTCGACTACTAAGAATTATAGTCGACTACTCAGCTTTGTATTTTGATTTACAAAACTTCAATTTTACAGAGTAGTCGACTACAAATAAATATAGTCGACTACTGAGCTTTGAAAATTATTTTACAGAACGTTTATTTTACAGTGTAATCGACCACTAACAATTATAGTCGACTACTGATCCTTGATTTTTATTTTCCAGACTTTCTGTATTACAGAGTAGTCGACTACAAAGAAAAATAGTCGACTACTAAGCTTCAGTTTCTGAATTCCAGACTTTCTGTATTACAGAGTAGTCGACTACTATGCATTATAGTCAACTACTAAGACAGTTTTTCTGAACGTTTGAAATTAAACTTGTGACACTTTTTAGCCGTTTTTTAAACGTTTTGAAGTTTAAAAATTTATTTTTTCAAGGGCTATATAGAGGTTATATGTTCAGAAAAATGACACATGATTCTATACCCATAAGCTTTGATCTTTGTGCATTTTTCAAGTGTCAAAAATTCTGATTTTGAAGAAAAAGAGAAGTTTCTGAAATTGCCTTTGATCCTCATTCAAATACTTATTATTCAGACAATTTACAAAAGTTAGAATCATTCCTAAGCCACTACTACACAACACTACAAATCAAGGCTTATAGGAATTGAGTTGTTGCTTCAAAGAAAAGTTCTCTCGATTTGTAAGAGGTGTTAATCTCTTGGTTTAGAGATTGGTGTGCAAATTGACAAGATGTTTGTCAATTAGTCTTACAATTTGCAGGGACTTGCAAATTGATCAGGTTTGTTTTTGATTTTATAAGTTTATTCAAAATCATAGTGAAAACTCTCAAGTGGGATTTGCTTAGGAACTGGATGTACGCCGAGTTAGTGGAACCAGTATAAAACTTTATGTTTGTGATTGTGATTTTTTGAGATTGTCATTATTTCTTTGCAATTTATAATCTACTTTGCATAAATTTTAAAAGAATACTATTCACCCCCTAGTGTTCTAGTGTATCTATTTCAGATCCTACAACATGAACCTCATGACTTGATTACATTAGCCCCTTAGATTCTAAATTTTTATTGCACAGTTGTTTCCTTTCAGAATTCTTTTCGTGATTGTTGCATGCATATAAATATTAATCTCTTACTAGAGTTCAGTTTAAGCTTGCTAGATCCCTGTTTCTATTTGCATACCATATGTTCATTTATTTTGCTCATTTTTCTCAAATCCCGTAGTTCTGTCTTGCATCACTCATCAAAAAGCCTTAAGGTGTTTTTCCTACAATTGGTTAAGAAATTGGCATTACTATAGAAACCCATTTTGATGAGAATACTAGTATTAATAATTCCTTATTCTGTTTAAAGGATCAAATCGATCGAAATAAACTACTCAATCAAAGTAACAACTGTCGCTTGCAATCAGTCCACGGTCAGATAAAGAACCACATAATACTCTCCTAAAAGACATATTTGCACTTTGAAAACCCCAAAATTCCAAACTTTTCAACTTGATACCCTGAATTTCAATTTTGACCATCTAATACCCAAAAAGTTTTTATTTTAGCTTAATTTGATAATTTGATAAACCCAAAACCCTAAATTTGCTCCTCACTTGCCCCAAACTCAAAAAACTAAAATTTGGCCAGAATATTGTTTCGCATTCACTTTTCTTTTATGTTAGTGTCACGGAACGAAATTAACGTCACCCATTGGCACTTCGGGGTATCAAATTGTCAAATTAGAACTTCACCGTATCAAAATTAGAAAAAGGTGAAACTTTGAGGTATTAAGGTGCAATTAATCCCTCCTAAAAATTACCAGGGCCGGCATCACGTGCTACGGTGCCGGTGACGACGAAGATTCCGGCGCCTATCGAAGCACCGATACCGATAAGGACGAGATCGACGAGCCCCAATCCTCGAACTAGGTCATCGCTCCGACTATCCGTGGGTCCCACCGGCAAAGTCTTGCGGCGGAGAGAAGCGGAGCAGAAGGCTGAGATGAACGAGGAGGCGGAGGAGGCGCCGGCGCCGGCGGGTGCTGACGTGGATCTGTGACCGCCCATTTTCGAAGGAAGCGGAGAGAGAGAAGAACAATGAATCGAGCTTCGATTTCTTATCGTATACATCAGCGAATCTTTCCAGTGTCATTATTGACTTTTGGAGCAACTCAATTACAGTGCGTGGTTGGACCCGATAATGAATAATCCGACCCGAATCTTTGTCCGATCAAACTTTGTACCGTTGAATGCTTTGCTAATAAGGGTCGGAATGGTTAACGGATGAAAACCGTTTCAGCTTTATCCATTTCGGGATCTCAAGTTTTGAATTAAGTTTTTTTTTGTTTGGCTGTCATTTAATACTCTATATCTTCAATTTCTTTTTGGTAATGATGCCTTTGGGGTTACTTTCGCAACCTTGCTATTTGGCACGCAATATGGGCGCACAGCCCATCTCGTGTGCCACAAATAAGAGGTTGGGACTCACATCTTGGTCCCACCACCCTGTTGTGGCACGCGAGATGGGTTGCGCGACCATCTTGCGTGCCAAATGGCATTTTCCTTACTTTCGTTTATTGGTTATATCTCTCATAAAAGGAATTTTATCTTAAAGTGTTTTCTTGATAAAGAGGTTTTATACAACTAAATCTTCTATATATTTTAGGTCTATAAGTGTTATAGGATGTAATCCTATTGTTCAAATTCAGCTAAGCAAAATGACAAATGCTCAATACTCTGTATCAAAGTTTTCTCAACTCGTTAGTAGTTATGTGGCATTATAGTCCAAGCAAGATCACTTCACTGGTCCTCATCACCGTAATTATCACATGTTGGCCTTGTAGAGGAGAAAAGACGATTTTTCCTTCAATGAATAGTCTCACATGGACTAAATTGATAAATAGTTGAGGGTTTAAATTGCTTGTCCTCTCTGTGGGCTTTGAGGGTCCATATGAAGGGGGGTGTTTTGGGCTTTCTATTATTTGAGCTTGGCATATAACACGCGTGCGGGCCACGCCACTTTTTGAGGGTAACGGGTGCGCGAATTTTGGGGAGAACGTGCGAGATTTTTAGTAAGGTTCCTCAATGGCTAGGGGTTTTAAACTCTATAAATACAGTCCTTCTCATTTTCGGAAGACACAACAACGAAGGCTTCTTCTCCCTCTCTTCCTCTTCTATGTTGAAATAGAGACAAAATTCTTCTTCCTCTTAAATTTGTTCTTGTTTTTTTAATCTAGGGCAACCATCTTCATCTGAGCATAAGCTATTTACTCTCCCCCGAATACAGAGGCCAATCATTTCCGAGAGTTTTTACCTCTAGGGGAGAGGGGATCATCTGTGCCAAGACGATAGGCGGGTCCTCAATCTTTTAGGACAGTGTTTGCACAACTACTCCCGATCAGGCCAGATTTTCTTGTTTCTTTTATTTTGGATTTATTTACATGTTATAAGTTTAATTTAATATTTTTGATAAACAATCTAGAAGATTGAGTTTTATAGTTGTTAATTTATAAAATCTGAAATAATTTTAAATCTGTAATTAATTACCTTAATTGCTGATAAATATTTTTTGCAAATTAATCTGAAATTATATTCTGCTCATCTGATATAATTATTGTGATTAATTGCTCATTACTTGTTCAAACTTGTAATTAATTGTCAATTAGTTATAAATAATATTTCAAAATAAGTAATTGTTTTCTGTTTCTGTTACAAAATAAATCTAGAAAAAAATTTAGAATTATTACTTAAATTATTCTTGCTAATTACTATTTTAAAAATTAATTTGTTCAGTTTCATATTTATTGGTTAATATTACTAGTTCATAAATAATCTTGAATCAAGTACTTACCCTATAGTCATACTCCTAAGTAACTAGTTGAGTGGTATTGACAAAACTTTCATTCCCTTCAAATTCCAAAATACCTAGACTAGTTAACTTGAATCGGACTTATGGCTAACACAGATCATTCCAAGAGTGTCAAACCCGAGAAATCCATTTGTGTTAACTACAAATGATGGGCTAATCAGATGAAATACTGGCTCACTACCCTAGGTCTCCTATCTGCCATTAACACTTCTGAATCTTCATCTTTTGGATCTCAACCTATGAATTCCAACTCTCCTGATCCTGAACAACCTACACCTTCCACTTCTGCTTCTGGTGCTAGTTCATTCTCTAGTCATATGAAACCAGAAGAAATAAACTATCATTGTTGCCATAGGATTCTTAGTGCACTTGCGGACAACCTTTATGACATATATTATGAGTTCAAAAGTGCTAAAGACCTATAGAATGATCTTGAAGCAGAATATGACTTTGATGATGCCGGAATTCTGCGTTTCACGTCATCTTTCTTCAATAAGTTCATGATAGTTGATGAAAAACCTATAAATGAACAAATTCATGAATTCCAAGATTTTCTTCGTCACCTCCAATCAAAGGAAAACTCATTTACTAATGACTTTAAAGTTTCCTGTTTGATTGACAAACTTCATCCCTCCTGGTCTAGATTTGCTGGAGATCTCTGACACAAGCAAGGAGATCTAACATTAACTGAAGCCCTCAAGGCTATTCGTATTGAAGACCAACATAGACAAAATTCTAAAACCAAGACCGAAATGAAAGCTAAAATGAACTTAGTAGAGGATAAGTCTAAATCTAAGAATTTCAAACCCAAAGGGATGAAATTCAAGAAAAACAGAAATCCTTCAACAAATCATCCTCCAAATCAAATCGCAATTTTTCCAACCATAAGTCTGATGGAAAGTTCTGTTATGTCTGTGGTAGAACCAACCACTTGGCTCTAGGCCTGTCCAATTAGGCCTGAGGCCCGGTGCTCAGGTTGCAGAAACCCAGCGGCCATACGGGTCTTGGGCCGGGACGGCCATTGTCGACGCGCTGCACCGGCACGCCCGTCCAAGAGAATGGTCGGGCTAGCGTTTTATTATATATATATATATATATATATATATATATATTATATATATATTATATATATATAACTATTATATATATATATATCTATTTTATTATATATATTATATATTATATAATATATATATATATATATATATTATATATATATATATATTAATATATATATATATATATGAATACTATATATATTGAATAAGTAAGAAATTTCCATTAATTATTAACTCCAGTACATATATTACAGAATTGGCTAGGCTACTCAGGATTCTAACATAAGAAGCTTTAGAGAGGGGAGAGGACCCTGGCCGTCACCCTCAACTAAAGGACCAAGAGAGAATCCTGATTGACCCAAAGCCAAGCATAAAGCAAGTACAGATCTCATTACTAAACAGTCTATCTCTAAAAACTGAAATGAAAGAAATTAATTACATTGCTTTTCGGATTCCCAATTAGCAAGGATAATATTATTACCAGTCTTCCATGTGCAGGTTCTAAGCAAAACATTGATATCCTCGTAGAGTCGCCTAAATACCATTACCTTGTGCATCTGTTGAGCATGAAATACACGTCTATTCCTTTCTTGCCAAATATGCCAGACAGATGCACCTAAAGCCATTCTGGACAGCTTATAAGTTTTATCTTTCATTTTAAACTTAGATTGAATTTCTAGAGCTTCAGTTCTAATGTCATTTATGACCGTAGCATCAAGCTGAAGTTTGAGATTGCAGAGTTTCCAGATATATGCTGAGAAAGGACATTGAAAAAAAAGATGATCTCTAGACTCAATCCCACCAGAACAGAGTACACACTCCACAGCAGAGGTAATTCCAAATCTGGACAGTCTGTCCCTAGTAGCCAATCTATTATATAGACTTTTAATCAAGCAACAAGTCATCTTAGGATTTGAGGAAGGAAACCAAACCACATTAGAGAGCTCAAAATTTGAATAGGAGGTTCTTACTTGATCCCATGCTGATGCAAAAGTAAATTTCCCATTTGCATTTGGTAGCCAAATCCAGTGATCATCTTGCCCAGATATTTGAATATTTGATATATATTGAATTATTGGGAAAAGGCATGGCAATACAATATGCCATTGAGAATTTTGAATGATGTGAGCTACTGACCAATTTTCTGTACCTGTGAGATGTGGGTTTATTTGATGTAGAATATCCGTAAGTCTGCCTTCAAGAATCCATGGATCAAACCATAGAGAAGTTGTTTCACCATTACCAATAGATTTCCTTATGCAACACATTGCTTTTGATTTAAGACCTGATAAAAACTTCCAAGTTTCAGAGTCCATTGCATGAGCTGGTGCATCCCATATATTTCCTCCCCTGACATATCTGATATTCATCCATTTAGACCATAGAGTAGAAGTAGAAAGAAGTCTCCATATCAATTTAAGGGCAGCAGCATGACAGAGATCATCTAATCTCCTCAATCCAAATCCTCCTTCTTGCTTTGGACGACAAATATCCTTCCAGTTGATAGAATGTAACTTACCTTTCCATAGAAAGTTAGCAAAAATAGACTCCAAACTGTGAACAGTTGAGTTGGGGAGTTTGTAGACAAAATACCAATATGCAATGGTACTATATAGAACTGATTTGATGAGTTCAATCCTCCCAACAAATGATAAAGAGTATGTCATCCAGCCCTCAATCTTTTTCCTAACTTTATCAATAAGTGGCAGAAAATCTTTAGCTTTAGGATAATTGAAAGATAAAGGTAACCCCAAATATTTTACAGGTAGAGACCCACTTGATATGCCCATAATAGCACTTAGAACATCTTTATTTCTGCATCATTTACTGAAAAAAATTCTGCTTTTGCTTTTATTGATACTCAGTCCTGTATTCAGTGTAAGAGACTCCAACAAATTGTTAATGCCTTCAAAGGATTTCCTGTTAGCTCTACAAAAAACCAGCATGTAAGAGACTCCAACAAATTGTTAATGCCTTCAAAGGATTTCCTGTTAGCTCTACAAAAAACCAGCATATCATCAGCAAATACAAATTGTTAATGCCTTCAAAGGATTTCCTGTTAGCTCTACAAAAAACCAGCATATCATCAGCAAATAATATATGAGACACTTGTAAATTCTGGTTTTTCTTAATATTTTGTATTTTCCCGGAAATTGTTGCAAGCTCCATGCTAATAGACCAAAATTCCATCACC